GAAGTGGTGATAATACTGGTGGAAATAGTGGTGGTAACAGTGGTGAAGCGGGCAGGGGTGTGTGGGCGTGGATGTGGCGAGGACAGCCACAGGTATCCAGACAGCTTCAGTGTTACCAAGGATAGCGGGAACCACCTCACTGGGTTAGTCACGCTGATGTGAGATGACGTACAGGTAACATGACGCTGACGTACAGGTAACATGACGCTGACGTACAGATGAATGGAAAGAAACACACAGGAGACGTACTGCTCAGACGGACGTACTGTACAGGAGACGCACAGATAAAACGTTTTTTTTTATGAAGACGTATCAGCTTCTGGCAGTAAAAGCACGTTGTTGCTGAAAGCGTTGCCACACAGTCTCACCAGCGTTATATGTTAGAGAGGAGGAGGGGAGGGGTGGGACCTATTAACCTTGGCAACCGACCTCCGCATCTGTACCACCTACCACCACCACCATCACCACAATCAAACACACGCCTACCACCACATCACCACAAATACACACCTACCACTACTACCACCATCATCATCACCAGTCAGGCCGCACCTCTATTATGCGGTTCAGTTCTGGTGCCCTTATTATAGAATGGATATCAATTCACTAGAGTCGGTGCAGCGAAGAATGACGAAAATGATTCCGGGACTTAGAAACCTTCCATATCAAGATAGGTTAAAGAAACTAAACTTGCATTCCCTAGAAAGACGAAGAGTGCGGGGAGATATGATAGAAGTATTTAAGTGGGTGAAAGGAATCAATAAAGGGATATAGATAAAGTTCTTATAATATCCGAGCAGGATAGGACTCGTAGCAACGGATTCAAGTTGGATAAGTTTAGGTTTAGGAGAGAAATAGGAAGGAACTGGTTCACAAATAGGGTGGTGGACGAGTGGAACAAGCTTAGCAACCTTGTAGTAAGTGCTGGAACTCTGGAAAGTTTCAAAGGGAGGCTGGATAGATTCATGGATGATAGAGAGTGGTAGTAACTCTCGACAGGAGCTGCCATGCACAGGCCAACCGGCCTATTGCAGACTCCTTATTTTCTTATGTTTCTTATGTTCTTATGTACTACAGCTACCTTAACTACCACCACCACCATCACCACCATTACCACATCTACCACTATTACAACTACCACCACCATCACCTAATACCATCACTACCACTACTACTACATCTACCACTATTACAACTACCACCACCACAACCATCACTAACACATCTACCACTATTACAACTATCACCACAACCATCACTACCGCATCTACCACAACTACCACCACCATCTACCACCATAACCAGTACCACAACTACCACCATCACCAGCCTACCGTCATGCGCCCCCATCACAGTCGACATTATTCCTGGAATGGCAATCAACATCATTACCATAATTACTATATCGTTCAACCCACAACTACCACCATCTGTACCACACCCACTACTACCACCATCTGTACCACAACCACTATCTCCTGACACCTACAACTACCACCATCTGTACCACAACCACTATCCTCTGACACCCACAACTACCACCATCTGCACCACAACCACAATCTCCTGACACCTACAACTACGACCATCTGAACCACAACCACTATCCCCTGACACCCACAACTACCACCATCTGTACCACAACCACAATCTCCTGACACCTACAACTACCACCATCTGAACCACAACCACTATCTCCTGACACCCACAACTGACACCCAAACTACCACCATCTGTACCACAACCACTATCCTCTGACACCCACAACTACCACCATCTGCACCACAACCACTATCTCCTGACACCTACAACTACCACCATCTGTACCACAACCACTATCTCCTGACACCCACAACTACCACCATCTGTACCACAACCACTATCTCCTGACACCCACAACTACCACCATCTGGTCCACAACCACTATCTCCTGACACCCACAACTACCACCATCTGGTCCACAACCACTATCCTCTGACACCCACAACTACCACCATCTGCACCACAACCACTATCTCCTGACACCCACAACTACCACCATCTGGTCCACAACCACTATCCTCTGACACCCACAACTACCACCATCTGGTCCACAACCACTATCTCCTGACACCCACAACTACCACCATCTGTACCACAACCACTATCCTCTGACACCCACAACTACCACCATCTGCACCACAACCACTATCTCCTGACACCTAACTACCACCATCTGTACCACAACCACTATCTCCTGACACCTACAACTACCACCATCTGTACCACAACCACTATCTCCTGACACCCACAACTACCACCATCTGTACCACAACCACTATCTCCTGACACCCACAACTACCACCATCTGTACCACAACCACTATCTCCTGACACCCACAACTACCACCACTCTCCTGACACCACAACTACCACCACTATCTCCTGACACCCACAACTACCACCATCTGGTCCACACACCACTATCCTCTGACACCCACAACTACCACCATCTGCACCACAACCACTATCTCCTGACACCTACAACTACCACCATCTGGTCCACAACCACTATCTCCTGACAACTACAACTACCACCATCTGTATCACAACCACTATCTCCTGACACCCACAACTACCACCATCTGTACCACAACCACTATCTCCTGACACCCACAACTACCACCATCTGGTCCACAACCACTATCTCCTGACACCTACAACTACCACCATCTGTACCACAACCACTATCTCCTGAAACCTACAACTACCACCATCTGTACCACAACCACTATTTCTTACTAGTATCATTTACCACACACACACACACACACACACATACAAGGAGGGGGGGGAGGAGAAGAAGACAAAGGAGGGGGAGAAGAAAGAGGAAGGGGAAGAAGACAAAGACAAAGGAGGAGGAAGAAGACAAAGAAGGAGGGGCGGAGGAGGAAGAGGAGACACACAGTGAGGTTTCGTTATGACTCATGTCGCTCTTGTTGCTGTTCTTAAGATGATGAGAAACACAGACGAGAGAGAGAGAGAGGGAGAGAGAGAGAGAGACGCACCGATAATATAACATGAAGCCTCAATATTTATCAAGAAAACAATATCCGTGATTCTTATTAATAAAAAATAAAAATAATAATATTATTTTCTTCCTTAAAATAATTCTATATTACTATCACCAATGTTGTTGTTGTTGTTTGAATATATTTTAGGTGCTGCAACAGCCAGTGTCATCTTTAACATCGCCCCACAAAGCGTCACTTTGAACAATAGCCAAACACAGGAATGTCGGAGTGTTTGTAAATATTCAGGACAGATGGCGTCTCTTTAACACAGGAATTCTAAGTATTAATATTAATTTTCCGCAACGTGTATAGTTTTCAAATAATTACAGGTATTCATGGTAATGATTTTATCTTATTTATTTCAATGGTTAAAACTTTATATATATACTGTATATGCTGCTAACCACAAGGAAAGACGAAAACACGAAGTTCCCAAGCGCTTTCGTGTAATTCACTTCTTCAGGGGTGAGTACAGACAGTACAGACTGTACTCACCCCTGAAGATGTGAATTACACGAAAGCGCTTGGGAACTTCGTGTGCTCTTCTTTCCTTGTGGTTAGCAGCATATACCTGGATCACGCGCAACTACAGTGATTTACTTGCATATATATATATATATATATATATATATATATATATATATATATATATATATATATTTATATATATATATATATATATATATATATATATATATATATATATATATATATATATATATATATATATATATATATATATATATATATATATACTGGGGCGACCGCCCGGGGCCCCGCGCGTGTGGGGACCCCGCGGGGCCCCGGACTAGACCCAGTGACCTAGGACACATTACCTGTTGACTGGTTAATCTGACCTGACGGCTTTCGCCACCATCGCAACCGTGACCTTACCATCCATAGCGACAGTCCCATGGGGGTTGGTGGGGGTGGGTTCCTCTGACCACATAATCTGACTCCATAATCCATTGCACTCCACTCCACACAGCCAGTCCACCATGGTCAGTAACCAGTGAGATCAGGTTGTGTCCTGTCCTGGGGCCCCTCAGTGGCTGAGTTGCCCCGGGCCCCGCACCCTCCTAGGGGCGGCCCATAATATACTATATATATATATATATATATATATATATATATATATATATATATATATATATATATATATATATATATATATATATATATATATTGTGTAAATATTGAACGAGGATAACTCAAATGTCACTGTATCCGAGGACAATGAATTAGTATCCTACATAACGAATATAAAATTTGTTTCATAATACAGTATGGTACTTTAATATTGTAAAACATGTATATTGTTTTAATTATTAAATACAACCAAAGAATCCTAAACATTATTGTATACCTTTAACGCCACATCAAAGCCATTAAGTACATTACAAAGTCAGGGTTATACTAGTGACGAGCTCATTTTTATTATAATTTTGTTGATATGCAATTTTTTTTTATAATTTACGTGGTAGGACGCTTGATTGTTTGTAGACATCAACAAGTACTGTAAAAGACTCACTTAAGTTATGTTACCAGACTAATTTTCTCAAGTTGTCTTCTCAAGTACCGAACTCTGAGACCGGCGCCTCATAACTCTGACAGTTACAACAATTAAAACTATAACACAACACTAAGAGACTTCAGAGCGACTTAATAAGTATAACGAAACTGCGACTCGCCGGGTGTGCTGTACGGTACACCGTCAGTGTTTACAAATGTTGCTTGATTTACATATTTTTTTTAATTATCATGATTTTTATGAGTGGTTCCATGTGACGTGTACACCCAAACTACTTAACCCTGTTGTTAATTGTCACCGGTAGGTTAAAATATTAAATTCCAGGATATTATTAAGGGTTCAAAATGTCTCCCATAGTCCCTCCTGGATGCGTCTTTGGTGTAAATCGTAATCATTACATACATCTACACTCTACAGGATGTCAAACGAGGCTAATATGAAGGACGCGGCGAAGGAGTCGCTGAAGAAGGCGACGGATCCCCTGGAGAAGCTCCGTAGCCACTGCCTCTCCCAGGGCTACTCTGGCATCCTCTCCCTCGGCAAGTAAGTAACCTCACGTCACTGTGGCACTACCATTATTGCCAGTCGTACAATGATTACTAGACAAATCTTGCTTTTTTTAACTTATTATTTCTACCAAGCTATACCTATATTAGGTCAAGTCAGTAATGGTACAACTCATATATACTGTAGTTTGTATTATAATTATTTACATGGTTGTCCCTCTATAGTCTACACAGATGAGTTTACATTACAGGTAAAAGGTAATTTACAGAAGTTATCGCTCTGTCACTATTATCCCAATTTAGCGTAACAAACTGTCTTGTCGGGGTCATTTAAATATACGTACTGACATACCGATTCTACTTACTCTTCTTCAGGTTGTTCAGGCGGCTGGACAAGGACAGCTCCTGGACACTGTCGAAGGAGGAGCTGAGCCGCGGGGTGAGCCAGTTCGGTCTGGACTTCTCCGACGCCGACGTCAACAAGCTGTTCTCCGACTTCGAGAAGGATGGACAGTCTGGCATCAACTACGAGGAGTTCCTGGAGGCCCTGAGGGTGAGGCAGAGAGGGTAGAGTAGGGTAGCAGGGGAGGGTAGGGTAGCAGGGAGGGTAGGGTAGTAGGCAGGGTAGGGCAGCAGGGAGGGTAGGGCAGCAGGGAGGGTAGGGTAGAGAGGGTAGGGTAGTGGGAGTAAGAGTAGGGGGTTGGGGTGGAAGCAGGGAGGTGGTGGCAGGAGGGTGGGGGTAGCAGGGCAGGGGTGAGGGCAACAGGGAGGGTGGGGCAGCAGGAGTGGGTAGAGAGAGTGAGTGGGTAATAGGCTGGTGGGGTGGGTAGGGGGTGGTAGGGAGGTGGGTAATAGGAGGGTGAGATGGGGAGGAGTGGGGGAGGGTGGGGTAGTGGGGAGGTGAGGTGAGGAGGAGGTATGGGGAGGAGTAGGGTGAAGTGGGGAGGGTGGGGTGGTGAGGAGGGTGAGATGAAGTAGGAGGTGGGGGTAGGGGGGTAGGGTGGAGGTGGGGAGGGTGGGGTGGTAGGGAGGGTGGGGAGTGTGGGGAGTAGGTGAGGGAGGGTGGATGTGGGGGGAGTAGTGGGAGTTGGGGTAGTGGGGAGGAGTGGGGAGGTGGGGTAGTCTGGGGAGGAGGGGTTAGGGAGGAGGGAGTAGTAGGGAGGTGGGGTAGGGGGGTGGGGTGGGGTGGTGGGCAGTGTGGGGAGGTGGGGCAGCAGGTAGTGGGGAGGTGTAGGGGTGGTAGGGAGGGAGTGGGGTGTGGGGAGGTGGGGGTAGGGTGTAAGGGAGAGGGTAGGAGGGTGGGGTAGGGAGTAGTAGGGAGGAGTAGGCAGGGAGGGTAGAGATTAATGGGGAGGTGGAGTGAGCAGGGTGGAGTGGGGCAGCAGGAGGGGGGACAGTGGTAGAGGGGTAGGGTAATTAGTGGGCTGGGTAGGGGTGTAGGGAGGGTAGGAGTAGGGTGGGGTAGGGTAGGGAGGGATGTGGGGAGTGAGATAGGGGGGGTAGGGCAAGGGGTGGAGGGTGGGGTGGGGGTGTGGGGAGTGGGGTGGTAGGGAGGGTGGGGTGAGTGGGGAGGGTGGGGTGTGGGGAGGGAGTAGGGTAGTAGGGGAGGTGGGGTGAGTGGGAGGGTGGGGTGGGGGAGGGTGGGGTAATAGGGTGGTGGGGAGGGTGGGGAGTGGTAGGGAGGGTGGGGTGTGAAGTGGGGGGAGGTGAGTTGGTGGGAGGGATAGGGTGGGGTGTGGGGTGGGTTGGGGGTTGGTAGGGGTAGGGTGGGGTTAGTGGGGAGATTGGGGTGTGGGGTAGGGTGGGAGGGAGGGGGAGGTGGGGTGTAGGAGTGGGGTGTAGGAGGGTAGGGTGGCAGGGGAGGGGGTAGGGTAGTAGGGAGGTAGGGTAGTAGGGAGGTAGGGTAAGGGAGGGTAGGGTATCAGTGAGGATAGGAAGAAAGAGGAAGAGTGAAATTAGAAAAATAAAGAGTGGAACAGAAATGAATGATAAAAAGAAGAGGTGGAGGAAGGGGTGAAGGAAGACCCCTGACGGTATATAAAACACTAAGGGAGATATGTAAAAGTGGAATAAGGAAAGGGAAGGATAGAGAGAAAGGTAGGAAGGAAGGGGAAGGGAAATATGTAAAACCTATACGAGATAAACTGGCTGATGGAGAAGTGAGAGAATGAAAGTGAAGAGAGAGAGAGAGAGAGAGAGAGAGAGTCCTTCATCCACAGTCTCTACCAACACACACTCTTCCTCCCCATACAGCCGAGCATGACCGAGCCGAGGAAGGCTGCAGTGGAGGCGGCATTCAAGCACCTGGACAAGACTGGTGACGGCGTGGTGACCGTCGAGGACCTTAAGGGCGTCTACTCGGCTAAGAAACACCCTAAGGTCGTGAAGGGCGAGGCTACGGAGGAAGAGCTCCTGAAGAAGTTCCTCAACATGTTCGAGAGTAGCACTTCAGTAGATGGCAAGGTAATGTGTGTGTGTGTGTGACCAAAGAGGAGATTGAATGCTGCAAGACTAGAAGTGAATGATACAACGATAGTGCACTTGCTTCTCACAACATTGACTACTTAAAAGTTCGACTTCCATTGGATTGGCTATGAGAACATTGCTATACAGTGAGACGCTTTTGAAATTTCCTCCTGGACTAACACTGAATGGCCCCCCCAGCGAGGCCAGTTAGCCATAAGTGTTAGCGTTATCCTTCATAATTATCTATAAGAATGATAAAAAAGAGAACTTACTGAATTTGATGAACAGACTTATATACTCGCCAGGGGCTGAGAGTGTTAGCGTAGTACTGTAGTTCTTGTTTCTTGAGTTCTATCAGGTTCTAGGATGTAAAGTATTGTGCCGTGACACTCTAGGATAATACGACACCGTACAATTAATTCAAATACCACAGATTTGCCTCAGACTTACCTATTCCAATTTAAAAAGACCCAGGCAACTGCAGTAATGTTAAAAAAATCACAAAATCTAAAATTTAGTTATCGTGTACAGGGGGTAGATGTCCATTCCCCCAGGCGTATACTGTACACCCGGGCGCATACACATAAGACCTGGAGAACCTCGTAGTGAATAAATGAATAGATATATATGTGACATTTTGGACGTATATAAATGATCATCAAAACAATCCAAACAGAGTTATTTAAAAATGACTAGAAAAATCCCATGAAATCCTTATTAATGGCGCATGAAATTCCCATAAATCTTTAGAGAGATAAATGACAGTCTTGTTGCGCGAAAGTTCTTCAGAGTTCATTATGGCGCTGTTGTTGTTATACTGTATATGTTATTCCACTGTTTCGTTCATTTCTCAGTGTTGTTTGTGTGTGTACTATTGTCCCACTACCCATCTCATTTTCTGTTGCTTATGCTGCTATTCCACTAAAATCTTCTCCGAAAAAATTCCTTTGTTTCATATGATTTCTATTGCTCTTTGTGTGTGTGTGTGTGTGTGTGTGTGTGTCTCACTACTTTCATACTATTGTTCCATTGTCTTATTCTCTGTTGTCATTTGTGTATTATAATCCTTTACCAGTGCCTCTATACAGCTATACATTTAGTCTATTGTACAAGGCTATACTCAAGAATACTTCACTATATGTTCTGTATGTTGTATGTCAATTGTATCAATGTTTGTATGTTTGGTGTTGTATTATTGTTGTTACCGTTGTCTCTATACAGTAATGTTTTCTCCCCCCTCTGTTGAGTGCCTTTTGTTTCTATAACGTCAATAGAGAGAGCATGAGAGTGTACAGATATACAAACAAAGTAAACAGTAATTTAACTCGAATAAAGACAGCTCTTTTATACTACCGCCATTATTATAATTTTTTTTTTTATCTCCCCGCGTCTGTTGCAGGTGACGAAGCAGGAGTTCCTAGACTACTACTCCGGACTCAGTAAGGCTATAGACAAGGACGAGTATTTTGTCTCCGTCGTCAACATGAGCTGGGGACTCTAAAGGGATTCACTTACTCCCCTGGTGGTGGCGCTGCAAGACTTCCAGGTGGTGTCATAGTGGGATTGCCTTGCTGATACTGTAGGGTTCTAGGGATTGCTGTAGGACTTATTTTTATGCAGTAGGATTACGTTGGTTTCGTAGTGATGTGTTTTGTGATTAGTCTGAATGCTTTCAATAAACACTGTTCGACGACTTTTTGTTTTATCACCCCAAAAACGAAAAATTAATAAAAATAACTAAGAAAATTCTATAGCAACACACGAGGGAATTATTGAAGAAAAATATAATTCAAATGTTTAGTAATAAAAATAAGGGAATAGATAGGAGTAAGATAAGGAAATATGTAGAATAAAGATTGTAAATAATATGGCTGTAGAACGATTCGAAAGCGAGTAGAAAGAGAAGGAAATATATTGAAAGATAATGTAGATAAATATAAGGAAAGAATAAAGTAAAACGATAGGAAGTGGTTATAGACAAAGAGAAAAACAAAGATGACAAAGGAGATGAAGAAAAAGTGGAAGGAAAACAAGAGGTGGTAGAAGGAGAGCAGAAACGACTGATAATGATAGGAAGATGAGGTAACAGTAGATAATAATGATAATAATAATAACAATAATAATAATAAATAGTACAGCAAATAATTAGAAAAGACAAGGTACTGTTGGAAGCGTAGTAAAAACGAAAACAGTAACAGCTGCAGTTTAAGTTTTACAAGTGATGATCAATTGAACAAATAACGTAAATTAATAATAACAAAAAACAAATAACCGCAGCATTAAGTTAGACTTAAAATAAATATCTTACATCATTTTAGAATTTCTGATTGTTGATAACTATAGCGTAATCTAATTTAATATCTAATATACTATAGGATTAGGCGTGTGTCTGTCTGTCTGTCTGTTCTGGGGAGCCGAAACGGCACAATCATTTTTCATCAAACTTGGTGGAAATATCACAAAAAAATTCGTAGAGTGGAACAAACCTGGTTCCATGTCGATGGTTTCTTTAGGAAGGCATTAATTAACCATTTTATTTACGATGGAAAACGATGCAAGTCTATGGACTTGGCGCACGCTCATTTGCTGTACGCTAGCCAAGCACGAGCATTCAAACTTTCACTGGGCATGAACGTGCCCGCGATCACTTGTAATATACTATAGGAATAGCCGTTTGTCTGTTCTGGGCAGCTGAAACGGCACAAAGGTTTTTCATCAAACTTGGTGGAAAAATCGCAAAAAAATTCGTAGAGTGGAACAAACCTGGTCCCATGTCAATGGTTTCTTTAGGAAGGCATTAATTAACCATTTTGTCGCTGTACGTTGTCAGCCGGACGACGGTTGCGCGCTAGCCAAGCACGAGCGTTCAAACTTTTGCCGGGCACGAAGGGCCCACGATTACTTGTTACTAATATACGCGTAGCAATGCACTATGTTACGTCAAACAATAAAATTCTTCTTCCTTATATTGAAAAGATTATATGCAGTGTGGAAAGTAAGTCTATGAATAGTGATTAATGATACAATCGTTGAAGGTTCTATCAGTATATGTTAAAACAATGATCTTTCAAAGACAACCAACTCTATTCATTCCTATGTAAATGATCAACCCTACATATATTCTTCACCCTGTCAGTCAGTCTCATGAGATGAAATTTTGAAAGCCAGAAACAGACTACGGGAAGACTTCATGCGTGTAGCTGGGTGAATTGCACCTAACTTGATTCTACACAATTCATAGTACATTTTGTCATCACCACCATGACAAAGTATTGAAACTTCAGGCATCACCCTTACTTCAAGTTTTACCATGACAAGCTCCGCCAGGCCCTGCTTTACAGGCGAACAGTTGGCAACGATTAATGCTGACGTTAAAATTATCTTATTCCGCATAAGCAACTAAGATCTTTAAAGAGTATTTTAGGTTAGTTCTATACAATACGTCAACTATTAAAGATTAAGAGAAATACTTCTCTCTAGGTTAACAATTTATGTATACGTATACTGCTGCAGTCTTTTGTCTGGGTGAGGTGCAGAAGAAAGCCATCAAAACATCAATAACGACCATACCAGAAAATTCCCAGCAGCGTTGATTATTCGCTCTCTCTATTCAGACGAGCTACACTCACTCAATAGTGCCAGTAAAATCGGTTCAGGAGGACATGTGGCACTGGCAGGCCCCATGACTTTTCCGTTGAAATTCCATTCTGCTCAACTTTCACTCATCAAATCACATTTATACTCCGGGCTAACACTCTATTAAACTTGCCACAAATCCCAAGTCATTTCACGAGTTTTAATTCTCAGTACTTTATGCTTGACTAAGAAACGTCTAGCAGGTTGATCTAGTGAATTTTTTAGCGTATTAATATTTTCCTCCTTGAAGAGAATTCAAATTAAAAGATTTATTTTTTTATTTTTAGAAGAGCTCACGTGTCCGGTTTGAGTTCACTTGTCAGGTCGGTTAGAGGATAAACTTTTCCTAGCTTGTATTTCTCTTTAACATGTTTCTTTCAACCTTTACTTACATAGACAGACAGATAGATAGATAGATAGATAGACAGATAGATAGATAGAATCAAATCGTCATAGAAATTCACAGTGGTTTAGCATATACTGTACAGTACACAAACAGTGAAGAGGTTTACTAACAATGGTAAACAGTAAGTCGAGAGCTTGTTTCCATTAGGCCAAAATGATCTTTCTGTTCAAGTGTTGCCATGTTTAGCCACGTATATACATACATACATGCATACATACTTACATACATACATACAGTGCATGCTTTTAAATAACTGCCATCCTACGACCGAGCCAAGAACTATACACACACACACACCTGCCTGCACACCTGCATACAAATCACCCGTTCTTCCTGGTACAAACACTGAAGCAACAATAAACACAAATATATACCAACGATCTCCAAGACACGCCGTGAGACCGTTTACAATATGTTTATGAGAGCATCCTAGCCTAGGTAAACAGAGCCTTAGACACACACACACACACACACACACACACACACACACACACACACACACACTCACACACACACACAAAGGCATCTCAAGTATTTCCTCTTAACCTCCATCTCTCCACCATCAGGTCGGGTCCTCGGCTCCGTCCATCTCAACAGGTTTTTTTTTTATGGAAATATGAGATTATATAAGAAACTATTAATTAGAAACAAATACCATCCATAGTTATATTATATCAAACCTATAATACAGTATTTATGTAAAGTTATTTATGTAAAGTTTTGGAAAAATTATTCTCAAGTATCTGTCTTCATGTTTGACTGTGTGTGTGTGTGTGTGTGTGAAGGAAGGTGTGTGTGTGTGTGTGTGGGTGTGTGTGTGTGTGTGTGTGTGTGTTTTTCAGAATCACAATACAGTATTTATACATTCTACCCCCTTTAGTATACAGTAGGCCTATCCACAATACTATTATCCCATAGAAACCACTGTACATCTGACCACAGCTATAACAATTGTATGGACTAGGCCTAACACACATAAGGAACAGGTGTGGACAGAAGCAATGTCTTACAGGTGATGGAGGGAAGTGGTCGAACAGCTGTGCATAATTACTCTGGGGGTAAGGAGGTACAACAGGTAGGGTACAGTTGAGGGTGTTAGAGTGTTTAAAAGACCTTCGTTGTTAAAGCACAGTAATACATCATTAACGCGTATCGTAGTATAAGTTTACATTCTGAAGGACTTGTTGTCGAAGAGTAATAACATACTCGTACCTCATAACATCAGCATTAACATGGTTCATTAACATCCATTTTAATTGCATTTTAGGCTACGTTTTGCATTATTCAACCCCTGAAGTATCATGTCATCGTACTCAAGTGGTTGAATATATTACAAGTAGGACAACTGGTCCAATAGAGATCCCATCATCAAGCAAGGAGAATCACCAGCACAGAATAATTGTCGGATTTAACGTTGTAAGTTTAGAGTTGTGACTGGGGTAACAAATACCAAGTGTGAATTCCTTTCTTGTTAAGGCTAAGCTAGACCATGGAGCCTTGGCACATGTTCAGGGAGGTTCAGTTATATAGATGCCCAGCACCTACGAGCAGTGTGTGGCTGAGAAGTTCCCGGCCATTCCACCGAGTAGAAACTTGACTAAGGATGAAGAGAATAATTCAATAACAACAGCAACAACAGCAGAGGTGTAAGGTTTGTGTGTCAGGTACTCAGACTTTCACCTACTAACATTTGCATGTTCTTCCTGCTGGGGCGGTGAATCCCGTGACACCAGTCAAGGGCCAGTGACCTGAGTAAATTACCTGGAGGGGGTAAGACGATGACAACATAACGATCACTCACCACAAAATTCACCAATTATTTTCTATTCTTGATAACCAACCTTTTTTTTTTCTATTTATTTTCCCTAACATACTTTCTATCTCTCTCTCTCACCGGTTTACTATCTCTCTCTCTCTCACCGGTTTACTATCTCTCCATCTCTCCCTTTCTCTACATCGACCTCTTGTTTACACCCTGCAGCACAACCTAAAGGTGAATACCACCGTCATTCATATCAGACTCCACCTGTCAATACCCCTGACAGACAGATACAATCCCCCAGTGTTAGTAAACTGGATACTTTGTTGCACCTGCGGGCTTTAGTACGTCATTGTCGAACATCACTTTATTTTATTTTGTTACCTACGAATAACAGTAGTTAAAGGTACAAGCACAGATACACAGTTAAAGACAATGATTATGACTCAGAAGAAACATTACAGGTATAGGTTAAATTACAGATACAGGTATTCATATACAATTAAGTACTGTAGGTGTAAAATATATATTGAACTCAGAAGAAAGAAAATCGGTTAAGGTATAAATACAAGTAAAGGTACAGGTTTACAAGTACGGTTACAAACATTAATTAATTCAGATGCAACAATACAGTTAATAGTACAAATACAGGAACCAGTAGAGTTAGAGAGATTTAGTACTTCAGAAACAGCAGTGAATATGAGACCCGATTACAAGTACAGGTACAAAGATTTCAAAGTACTGATAATACATAAACATCACAACGATCATTGTACTTTGTTGTATTAAGTTCCGAACACAATTCTCCTGGATACTTTGGCTCTATCTGGTATCATTTACTTGACGACCATGTAGGTAAGAGATAATGTGATTTTAACATATTATCTACTTATATTTGTCTTATTTATTGTGAAGAGTTTTTCATAATATTAATAATGACGTAATTTACAACGAAAACAATGATCATCAATCTTTTATATATATAACTCACAAGTAGGTGGTGCCATATATCCTGTACACACTATATATTAATTAAATTTTCACTCACACCTGGAACGCCTTATCTGAAAAAAACTTATATTTTTCTACTTGAATTTTAATGGCCGTAATTAATGTTTTAAATTACTGATATGATTTTTCTTTTTATATTATGAGTTTTATGCGAGTTGAATTTAATATGGCTGTCGTTAATTTCTGTTTTAGTTTGGCCTTTTTCTCCTGTTGTCCTTTTTTTATCGAAGTTTATTCTATTATTATATACATTTAGGTCTTCTGTCACTATTATATTATCCATTTTTTTATGTATGTTCGTGATTTATATATATATATATGAGATTTTACTTATTTATAAATGATTGAAGCAGAATACATTAACAACTCCTTTCCAGTATTTTATCTAAACTCTTGCGTACGTAAAAGTGTTTGAGTTACTGTTAATTTACGTTTTCTGTGATATAGTTTTCTTTTTAAATTGATCAATGATTATATTGCTATTTGCTGTTTATAAGTATTGAAGCCTGTTCAGAGAGAGAGAGAGAGAGAGGGAGAGAGAGAGAGAGAGAGCGAGAGATTATTCTGTTTTGCTTTACCTCTTTAGGGATCATTAACTCAAACAGGATCTATTTATTTTTATCATCCATCTTAAAGTTCGTTTAGGTCTTCCTCAAAGGAGGCAGACATAATCTATTGTGTTTACTAATTTCTTGTTTGTAAGCAATTAACAATTAATCGCTATTTCCTCAATCCTAAACCATTTAACTAGAAACGTAGACAAGATGGTAGGTACAGTTTTCGGTCCATTAGGCCTCCAATTAGGATCAAAGTTGACGAAAATTACTAATTGTTATAGACCTTACACAATAATACCAGTTTACAGTGGTCAGTCTCAAAATTCCCGAGAAATTAAATTAAGTGATCAATTTAATCCCTTGTTAATTAGATATTATACACGTATCTAAACTCGTGTTTGTGATTGACATTATCATATGTTTGTTCTTTTTTTTTGTTTTCTTTTCGTGTTTTAATATTATAGGCTTGTACTTGATGTTATATTTTTGTTCTTTCTCATTCTTTTATTGAGGTGTTTTTGTTTGTTTTTCGTTTATTATTTGTAAAGTGTTTAGTTATATATTTTATTCTCTCGTTACTCTTCTTACTTTATCTTTGTCTCTTTTCTTGATGCGTCATTCGTTCTGTCTGTCTCTTCTTTACTTCACTTCCTCAGTCTTACTTTCTTCCTCTTTCTCACACTATTGTCTGTTTCTTTCTATCTTTCCTTCTTACCTCTCAGCTCTCTCTTACACTCTTTCCTAACACTTGTCTTTTTCTCTCTCTTCCGCTTTTCTTCCACGTCTCTTTATTTCTTTCTCTGCCTCTATCCCTTCCTTTATCTCTTCGCTTTTACTCATTTTTCTCTCTCTACCTTTACCTCTCTCTCTCTCTTCCTACATTCCTCACTCACTCTACCTCCACTTCTCTCTCTGTTCCTATTCCCCCTTCCCTCTCCCCCTCCTTATCTCTGAGAATATCTTTTTTTGTTTTGTTTTACTCTCTCGTTAGCATACCACCAGCCACTAAACTGACCACACCGCCGTCATGAATATTAAAACAAATATCAGAGCGCTCAGCCACAAGTTGTACTGGAATGGTAAAGGGATAGTTAAGCCACACAGCCTTATTTGGACCAGAGGTAGCCGGTAAGTTGACTGGTTCCACAGCGGTGCGTGTTGATATCGCGACATGAAGACTGAAGGAACTCACTTGACCTCAGATAAGTTAACGGAACCTCAATTGAATGGCGCAGTTAAACGGGGCCTTAATATGGAAAATAAATTATGAAAAATATAACAAAGACTAACTTTATAAGTGAAAGAATAAATAGAGTATATCAGAAATATATTTGTGTTTGGAAGCTGTTGTTTGATATATTATCTTAGCATTCAGGGAAATGGTGAAACGGTGTATTTATATTAGTAAATATAGAAAAAAACTTGCACCACTTTCAGTCATTCGGGAAAATGGTGTATTTATGCTTAAAACGACTGAAAGAATATCAAACATCAACTTACATATGAAAAGGAACAGAGAACAACAACATATATATGGGGTTTATATCAAGTATGAACTCATATTTACACAATATATTTCAGAATTATTAAATTTAAACAAAAACTTATATTATCAGACAAAATATAAGAAACTAACAACAAAGATAAGTAAATAGAACAACCATAAAAGAATAAATAAAACAAATAATGAAGCCTTATGAGAGATATCTTGTACGTGAAGGTTGCTGTTGTAGTGTCATTACTGTACTACAACAACGGAGATTTTTAAGCGTGTAGCAAGGTTAGTAACTAGACTATTCCAAAAACATTAAAGAATGAGATAAAACTCCCTAATTTAAATGTGAAGGAACTCATACGAAAAGACATATATTAAGCCCTTATTGAAATATATACGTGCATGAAGGAGCTGTAGAAAGTCTGACCTAAGTACGGCTAACAAAGATAAATTAATTAATAGGATCAAAAGTTTCATAACTTAATCTAAATCCCTAATTCTCTGACTTTAAAAAAAAAAAGAAAAAGAAAATATACGAGTAATTTAAAATGGTCGACTCTATCCTTTTTAAGCCTTCCCATTTTCTCCCGGGCGTTGTTTTAGGCGAAACCAAATCTGTTCACTGTTTATATTACAAACAAAAAAGAATGGCCCAGAACAACACCAGAGAGAGAGAGAGAGAGAGAGAGAGAGAGAGAGAGAACGTTTGTACGCTCTCTCTTCCATGAACAGTAATTTATCATATTCTGTGACGGGTAATTTCACTCTGTTATTTATGGTTGAAATCTCATCTGGACGAAGATGAGAAGATCACTCTTAAAGATATTATTATCTGGTATAGAAACTGACTTAATGATCTATGCTGGAAGAACTAAGGCGCTGAACACTTTAAAGCATTCAAAACAACAACAACCTTTTCGCTTCATCATCTTTACAAACTACGGGATAAAAATCACCAATTACACTAAAAATAATACGATAAATTAAAAAAAAAAGTTGCTTATAAAAGAACTGAGACCTTACATATATGGAGTGAAGAGGGAGGGAGGGGTGAGTACCATGAGTGGATCAACCATAACGTGATAATCTATAAAGTCTGGTGAGTTAAGTCTCCAATTTAATAATTTGAGGACAAATTTAAAAATCTTGATCGTTAATTAATTTTCAAAATGGTTGTTTAATCAATGAAAGGTGAAATTTTTCGTCTTGTAGGTTATATTTTGAAACTATCATCAACGAATTAGGCTGCCTGGGTGGTGTAAGATAGATTCAGTAGGTTATCTTATTTATTTACATCAATTTAAAGTGCATCCATTATTTTGAAATATATTATTGAGTCGAAATTTCATCAGATATTTCAAAATAATGTGTATAGAAAAAATGCGTTTTCTAAAGAATATAAACAATTACTGAAGAAGGTGTGATAGCAATGTAAATAAACTGTCTAAATCGTTATAGGTGACCAATGTGATTACTAGTTGGTATACGCGCCAATTAACCTTCGTAGTTGAAGTGCAGTCATAAATTACAGTATCAGCATCAGTGGGTGGTAAGCAAGAGGGAGTTCATAGTTTATTAGCATCCACTTAAGCTTCCCAGTAAAATATTTCTAAATTTACTTCAACGACTAACTGTAAATACTCTTAGCTGTGATCATGACCACGACTCAACAAGTATTCAGTCCAGTATCTTGCTCACTATAAAGATCCTTCTATTTATCAGAGACATAAATAACATAGAGCCACTGATGGAGCGACGGTAGTTGATTGATTAAATAATTAACCGTTAAGAGACAAGTTGCAATCAGAAGAACACAGTATCTTATATCTGCCGCTACTTAAAAAAAAATGATTTCATGCGCCATGTTGTTTTGAACGCGATTCGTCACTCAGTAAAGACAAATTATCTGATTAGAGGTCGCCGTTTCTTCAATGCATACCCGTTGTCTAAGCATATAACAACAAGAGATCAGTTCACTTGCTCGAGCTCCCCGTTGAGTGAATTATGCGACTGGACTAACCTGGCAGCTGGCACAGAGAGAGAGAGAGAGAGAGAGAGAGAGAGAGAGAGAGAGAGAGAGAGAGGTTAGCGACTTGGCTTTATTATCTCACAGCCTCTTTAACATGACAGCGTAAACACCAGCCACCGTCGCCTCTGGCCAAGATCGACACGCACATCCGCCTCTCTGATGGTTATTACCTGCATCTCTATAATAATACCAGCACTGTGAATATTCAGTAGCGATGCCTCCTAGCTTTTGTGTCAGAAAATTGGTCGCCTCATAGGGGAAAATGTAGGCGGTAATTGGTACTCTTGTTTTGTTTGCCCCATGTTGTTTTACCTCAATGTTTATATATTATTATATTTTTGGATATATATATATATTCATGTTGACTGAATAGGGGAATTAAAATGATTATCAGTGAGGATGTCTAAAATTTAATGGCGTGTTTACGTTTTAGAAGGAGGTACACATTTATATCCGTGTCGTTCATTCACCTCACCTGCTCCCGTCACCGCTGAAGTGGGGGAGAGAGTGTACCTTCACCGTCCATGGGGGGTGGGGGATGGAGAGGGGGTAGTAGAAGAGGGGGTGGGGGGGGGCGTAGGACGAGGGGGGTGGTGTAGATCAGGGTTAGGAGGGGGTGAACGATGAGGGAGGTGGGAAGGGGGTAGGGAGAGGTTACGGGTGTTTATGAAGTATCAGAGGGGGCTTCTAAAGACCAGTTTACCACCAGGGACTCTGTGAGGTTGACGTGCTGCGCTGCTGTCGGGGCTCCAGTTGTTACGGACACGCGCACACACACACACACAGGTGAGGGCGCTGCGATCAAGTGCATACTTTGGCTACTCCGTCACACCTTCGACAGCTGCACGAGGGATAGTATTACTAGGGCAGCTGTATGATTCCATGGATTATGTTACTTTTATTTATGTAGCTGGCCCACGTTTTCTACTGTACACCACAGGGGAAAGTTTTATTGGCCAGACGGTCACATTATTAGTTGAACATTTGTCTGCTGTATTTATAACGGTACTATACAGGTGTTTGCCCAGCAGCTAGTAGAGCTCAGTGTTTAACAACTTTGTACCTCAATTAGGATGATACTTTCCTCCCTTGTGCAGCTATTCAGATGATAGTATACCTTCCTGTACAGTTGCCTAAGGATAGTATTACCCCCTTTACCATCTCTCACTCAACAACAACCAACACTACCACGAATATATGAATCCCAGTGATTTACTTCCAGTTGAGTACAAATAATTGCACAACTGCTATCATCACTTACATAACAAATTGCATCCATAACAATCCCCATGTTTTCTGCCATTACAACCATGAACACAACTTTCAGGGACGCAACCAGTGTTAATAATCCAGTTTCAGGAACTAGCACCACTTGCACCACCATTATGGACGCACAGTTCATATTATAGTGGCGCCACAAATTACCACCACTATAATGGGTGGTTAAAGGGTGAAAACTGAAGTGAGATATGAGCGCTTTCCCAAGTGTTTTCTCAGAAAATGTCATCAGGATAAATTAGTGTGCAGGGGTCCGGTGACGGTGATGGATGCGGCAATCGTTTTGTTGAAAAGATGTGCTTTCAGGGAGAATCTGAGGACCAACAGACCTTACTGATGGTGTGAAAAGAAAGACGAAAACACTTTTAAAACAATTTTGATAATTAGAGAAAACGACAAAGGATGGAAATAATTTGAGAAAACGAAATAATATGAAGAGTAACTAAAGAAAACCTTTTAACGTGGCTAAAATTAATTCGTATAAAACTGAGTTTTATTTGTTACGTGGAGAGTTTAAGGAATATGCGTGATACACGACATACTAAAGGAAATGAAATTCATAGAATATGGATCTGACGGGAAATAAAGGAAACAGCTGCAGCACGTTTGCCTTTCACCATTGTGGTCACGTGTTCAAATCTCCAGGTGAAAAGTGTGACTCTACCGAACACCACAGGTGTTCACCGGGAACTCTGGCTTTCTCCTGTACTAACACCGAGCAATGGAGGTCGTAACAAAGTACAATAACAGAGAACAAACCGACCATCCGAACGGCTGATAGAGTGGTAACTCTTAGCCAGTGATCGGCTCGTTAGCAGCTTGGGCGGTCGGTCACGTCTCTGTTACGCACTGTTGGCAAGTACCGGCTCCTGAATGTGCCTGAACCTGCTCCAGTGTTGGTCAAGTCTGGTCTTGAAAGAGGTCACACTTGGTGCTGTCACAACACTCTCTGGCAGATAGTTCCAAGAGTTTAAAATTCTCACTCCGAAAAAGTTTGCCCTCACAATTTTTGGACTTTAGGCTTCCTCAACCTTGAGCTGTGACCCCTTGTGAGGGACACTCGAATGAGTAGTGCCCTCCGAGATGTTTATAAACTTCAATTAGGTCACCCCTTTCCCGTCTGTAGTATAAGCTAGGCAGTTGCTGGCGTTCTAATCTCTCTGGGTAACTGGGGTGCTGTAGAGCAGGCACCAGTCTGGTGGCCCTCCTTTGGACATTTTCAATTAACTGACAGTCCCTAGCATATCTCGGGACCCAGACAGTAATCCAAAGAGGAAAGCACCCCACTCTTGAAGAGCGTTACGAAGGATATCTGAACGACCTTTATATAAAACCTACTAGTTTAGTTTCTTGATTCACCTTCTTCTCACAATGGCCCGAGAACCTCAGTAGAGCAATAAAAAAATAATTATTGTTCAATAAAATTGTCAAGCAAGTTTACAACTGGTTTGGCATGTATACAGGGTGTCCCATAAGTTTCCATACAACGTATCACCAACCCCATTACAAGTATAACTGCAGCTGTGCTTGAACGTGTTCTTCAGCAGTGGAGGACACGCATTGAAGAGTGTTGTCAACAGAATGGTAGTCATGTAGAGCATATTATATAAATAAAAATGGATTTTCATATAAAATTTATTTTTCCTATGTATGGAAATTTATGGGACACCCTGTATATAGCCAATGTTTCTTGTAACGGTACATAGAATGTGCTGCCCCGGTGACTGACTGACTGTTTAAAAATATTTTTGTATTCTGTCTACCTATAAGAGGGAAAAGTTTCACGTTAAGTAGTTTACAACAGAAAACAATTAAAGTGAAAGAGAAAGATATTAGGAGTATTTATTCTGAAAGGAAGTTATATTTACGCCATATTTACGGTCAGTTTTAGACGAGAGAGAGAGAGAGAGAGAGAGAGAGAAATGTACTTTTGCAGAATCCCCTTATAAATGCACACACACTTATTCACTCATGCTCGCTTGATCACAAAAAAACCAGTTAAAGTTCTTAAGAGTTTTTGTAAAAGTATTATAGAGCTTCTGGTGGCAGCCACCCGCACCTCCTCCAGAGTAATGAAATATTTTACATCCTCGCTTGACCCCGGCAGCACCCAGCGCCTCTAATTATTCTCAACTTTTGACTTCAACATCTTGTTCATTTTTCTTGTAATTTTCGTGAACTAACTTATACCGCTTTATTAAGTTCTTCCTGAAATCATCCCGTAATGGACGAGTTGACGGTCGGAATTTTTTCGTAAGATGGCAGGTCAGTGGGTAAAGAAAACGCTTAAATTCACAATGGTAATGATATTTTTAAATAAATTAGGCCAAAAAGTGTCAAAACAAATTAGGGTTAAAGCAGCTAAAAAGTCACGTGACTGCGAAAAGCTCTGTGATTGGTTGTGACGTCACAGGTTGGCAGGAGCCTGAGGCTGCCAGCTGTGGTGTGTGTGTTGTTACCAGCAGAAATACAGGACTTGTGGCCATATACAATGTTGATATACACAGTCATACCTTATTTTTAGGTTAAAATAAATTACTGCTCAAGTATCATCGTGTGTATTTACTTGCTGGGTGACACAATGATGCAAGAGACCGATAACTCCAACATGGAAAGTTTCATCACTGTTCTCTATTTCATGTCTGGAAAATGTAAATTATTGTCACTGAAGTCTATATATAATGTTGTGGAAGGACTAGGGACGACCATGGCCAGGGGATGGGCTTGAGGTGATCAGATGACAGATGTAATTTAACGTGGGGGGTAGTAACTCAAAACTAGTGAGTTCCGATAGAAATAAAGGTCAAAATCGTCCATAACACATCGCTAACCATCAGAAGAAACAACCAAACATAGTACAGGGTGACCCAAACTGACCATTGACCCAGTATAGTCTGTCTCCACTCGACACATACAAATACTTATGTTAGTTAAAGGAATATTTACCCATTAATTAATATAAATGATGATATATCCCAATGCATTCTCGAAACAAATTCCAGACAATATCTCTACTTCTAAACTGACTCGTATCTCCATCTAGTACTGATATACTCTGTAAAGGCACTGGACACAAAGAGAAAGTCTACCGGGTAGGAATACATGACAGGCGACCATGGGAGTTTTTATGTCCAAAAGCTGCTCTTCACGGCACATTTCTTCATTTACGGAATGTCCATGACTTAAACCATAAAAAACATCCTTATTACTTACCTGAAAGTGGCGTTTGGGGTCTGAAGAGGCCATCCTGTGTACTACCGCCCTGTATCTCGAGAAATAAACTTATCTCGATTATTATATCAGGACTTTAAACTTTTATTACAAATTATATATACCGTATCACTCTTCGAACGTGGCAGAGTGTATTTCTTGTGTTTACTTAGAACGACAACTCGTCCATTATAGTCACCCTGTTGAGTATGTTTAAGGTGCTACACCAACACACACACGGCAGTCGGATAAACTTAATATTCCTGTATCATACATTCCACTAACATTGTTTATGGAGTCATGTTTAATATTAATCGACCACGACAGCCAGGGACACAAGATACATGTGAATCTACACTATGCCGCGAGCTCATGTTTCAACTTGATCAAAATCGATAAGTGACACTAGACGTCATCATCTTACCTGTGGAGCAAGTCGAACACCTGAGCCAGCACGAAGCCTTTTATACTTGAGTGTTCATATTTTTTATTTTTTTTTTAAAGAAGATAATATTTCATCTCTCAGGCCAACAAGGCAACGACGTCTTCATTACAATAATCTTCTCACAACTCCAACCAAGACTTAAATCCTGAATTCCCAGGAGTTAGTGGAAGAGTTTGCATCAATTAAAAGTTTGGAACTGTTTTGTTTGACGCCATAAACGTTCGCGCCAAAATTTCGCGCTCTTTTATGGCTACATTTGGATAGCGCAGTAGACGCCTTTCCAGATTAGACTAAAGGATGTTACAGTAGTGTTGGGGATGTTTTTTTAGTACATCTTAACACGGTCAGTAATCAACCTTTGTTAACCCTATGATTAAGATGTCTCAAGTTTAAGTGTAGTTCTTATTTGATGAATATTTCCCGGTATAGTAATGTTTGTGTACAGGAAATGAGTGTTCTTTTAGGGTTTAAGACGCATTTATTCACGAGTCATAAACAAAAATAGAATTAATATTGGAAATTTAAGTACCTAATTAAGCAAAAGACATACACACACACACACACAAACAGGCGCACACACACACACACACACAAACAGGCGCGCGCACACACACACACACACACACGCACACACGGGTCAAACAAAGCTTGCGTCATTGTGTTAAACATATCTATTACTAAACATACACACAACTGTGCTTTGAGTGTATACATTATTCAAGTGTATACAGCCACTGTTTCTCATCATGAAAAACATTGTATCTCTCACCGTCATAACCATTGTATCTCTCACCGTCATAACCATTGTATCTCTCACCGTCATCACCATTGTATCTCTCACTCAGCTCGTCTCTCTCTCTCTCTCTCTCTCTCTCTCTCTCTCTCTCTCTCTCTCTCGCCGGGGGGCGACGCCTGGCCCTCTGACCTTCAATAGACAGCATCCACCTCACCCAGGGCATTGTTGAGCTACTCCTGGTGCTGTCTGTCTATCCGTGGGCGGGTTGTGTGTGTGTATATACGACGCATGTAAAGATAAATTTCAAATGGGTGTCTCTCTCTTGAAAGTTAAAATCGTATTGATGTTTTAATGTATTACTGTGCTTCAATAATTAAATGTTCTAACTGCGTAGTCTAGGTTAATATTACACTAAACACTTAACTATAAGGAATAAAAAGAGATAATTGTCACTCGTATATAATAGTTTATCCATCATGTTAACGAGAGGTGGATTCTGTGGCTGCGGACTTCACGGGAGGTTACTGGTTATCGATAACTTAGCGCGTAAATAACATTACTGTGATCTAGGACAAGGGGGAAAAAATGTCAATATTGAGTTAGGAATATAGTTGAAGCACAGGAGAATGTATAGACGAAATGATACAACTCTTAGGATTATATTTAAAGCCTAAGAGGAAGTATAAACGAAATGATACAACTTTTAGGATCACATTTGAAGCCTAAGAGGAAGTATAAACGAAATGATACAACTTTTAGGATCACATTTAAAGCCTAAGAGGACGTATAAGTAAAACAAAACAAACTACAGGGAGAAAAAACCCCACATTTATCCTCCCTATCACCAAGGCAACAGGCCCTTAAAATAATATGTACCGTAATTCGTCTGTTAATAACCCACGATTGTCATCTGTTTTTTCTAAACCAAATTACGAAAGTGTTCAACAAAAGAATAAGGAGAAGGGATTGAAAGATCAGAATCCATTAAGAAAGATCAGATTCTATTTAGAGACATATTTCCCTTATGATTTATTGTTATTTTACTTATTGTTTACATTTAAGAGGGTGAGGAGGAGAGAGGTGGAGAATAATGGAATGGGAGAATGAAATTAAGAAATGGTTCCCCCAGAGAGATAGAAAGAAAACGTAAGAGGATTGATAAATATAGATACACACAAAGATGGGAAAAGAAATGTATTGCACCATATCTCTGACGTGGCTTCCCTCTTATTCCCAGTTACGGTTAAAGTAGAAATTATCTTACGTTTATTTGAGCATCCAGACCCAACCTTATGTACGTGTTATCTGAATTCCAACTTCGGAAAAAAAAAACGTAGATAAAACATTTAACTTATCTTGTAAAATATTCCAAATCCATCCCAAGTTGATGACGTTTTTCTATTATTATTTATGTGAAATGATCTTAATCTATGTCTTATTGAGAAACTAGACCTTGACACTAATTTATAAAAAAAATGCTGTGAATCACCTGAAGATTAGACACCCCAATCTATTTCACCTGATAATTAACCATCCTAATGTAACCTAACCTAACCTAACCCTTACCGGCCCAACGCCCCCTCCTCCCCCAGGTACAGAGGTGATTGTTCAGGTGCAGAGGTGATTGTTCAGAGGTGATTGTTCAGGTACAGAGGTGATTGTTCAGGTACAGAGGTGATTGTTCAGGTACAGAGGTGGGCAGTGACTCACACCTTGTCTCTCAGTCTAGTTTAAGTAATGGACTCTGATGTAATAAGATACGAGACACCTTTGTTGCTTACGATGTGGGGGTTCTTGTTATCACCTGTCTTCCTGTCCCTTTTTTTGTATTCATTATCTTCTTGTCTTCCTCTTCGCCTTTTGTTTCTTGTCTTCCTCTTCGCCTTTTGTTTCTTGTTTTCTTCTTCGCCTTCTCTTCTTGTTTTCCTCTCTTCTTGTTTTCCTCTTATTCTTCTTTCTCTCCTTGTCCTCCTTTTCTCCCACTATTCTTGTTTTTCTTCTTTCTCTTCTGCTCTTCTTCTTCTTCCTTCAGGAGGTCTTCTGACGGTGTATGATGAACGAGAAGAAAGAGTGATGATAGTATGGGATTAGGAGAGAGGAGAGAGGGAGAGAGAGAAGGGAAGGGGGGGAGAAAGAGAAGAGAGGAGGAAGGGGGAGGAGGGGGGAAGAGGGAGAGGAGAGAGAAGAGAGAGAGAGGAGAGAGAGAGAGAGAGAGAGAGAGAGAGAGAGAGAGAGAGAGTGTGGAATCGTGTTTTGAATTGTGAGCTTCAAACACAATGATAAAATTACTTCATTATTTTCTGGGATTCCTGATAATATGACTCACTTCTCTGGGCGGTGAAGGAGTGAGGAGTAGACGTATGTGTGGTGAGGTGAACGTAGTGGACCGGCCAAGAACGTGACACAGGCGAGGGGTGATTGGTGAGCAGGAGGAGTGATGGAGACTGCAAGTTACGTGGCGTTGGTGACCATCCTTGTCCTGGTTGGCCCCGTTGCTGCCTTACCACAACAACAGGTGAGTTAAAACCCTCTCTTTCAACCTCTTTCACCCCACTCCATATCCCTCTCATACCCCCTTCACCCCACTCCATACCCCTCTCAACCCCCTTCACCCCACTCCATACCCCCTTCACCCCACTCCATACCCCTCTCATACCCCCTTCACCCCACTCCATACCCCTCTCATACCCCCTTCACCCCACTCCATACCCCTCTCACCTATATCTATCACCCTTATTTATCACCTGAGGGGGGAAGAGTTAATTATCGACAGGTATTTATCACTTTACCTGGTCTGAGTTATGAGGATGGTGTTGGCTGAGGCGGTGTGTCTATTTATGTATGTATGTATGTATGTATGTATGTATGTATGTATGTATGTATGTATGTATGTGTGTGTGTGTGTGTGTATGTGTGTGTGTGTATGTGTATGTGTGTGTGTGTGTGTGTGTGTGTGTGTGTGTGTGTGTGTGTGTGTGTGTGTATTAAGGGCCCCTGTGGGTGTGTACCTTAGTGTTACTTTTTAGATTTGGTTTAAAACTATAAATAAATAAATAAATAAATAAATAAATAATGTAATGGATGTAGTGTACTGTAGATGATTGTGTAAGTGACGTAGTTCAGATAAGAGATTAGGTTAGGTTAGGTTAGGTTAGGTTAGGTTAGGTTAAGCTGAGTTGGATTAAATCTACGAGCTATGCACTTCATGTTTGATACAATATTTTAGGAGTGACACATACTCTCTCTCTCTCTCTCTCTCTCTCTCTCTCTCTCTCTCTCTCTCTCTCTCTCACAACACGTGGCTCCACCTCACGACAGGCTGAGGCACTACCAGGCTTACGATGGTCGGAAGCGGTGGTGGAGGTGACCCTGACCAAGCGCCACGCCCCCACCGACCCCTACAGTCACGCCAACATCAGAGACAGCACTCCCAACAGCCTCCTCAAGGTCACCATGGAGAACAAGTAAGCCTATGACGTCACTTATGTATCAAAAAGCCTATGACGTCACTTGTTATATATCAAAAAGCCTATGACGTCACTTGTTATATATCAAAAAGCCTATGACGTCATTTGTTATGTAAAAAAAGCCTTTGACGTCACTTGTTATATATCAAAAAGCCTATGACGTCACTTGTTACGTAAAAAAAGCCTATGACGTTAATTGTTATGTATAAAAAATCCTATGACGTCACTTCTCGTTATGGGGGAATGTAGTCATTATATCGAGGTTTGTTATATGTGAAACCTCCATATAACAAACATAGTAAATAATTTATGAACATATGAACACGACGAGAGTTCTTCAGTATAGTTCATTGTTATTTTTAGTATTTCAAAACTTTGCTTATTTTTAGTCATCAACTGAAACCTATTTAATGGATGTAAATACTACTACTACTACTACTTTTACTACTAATACTTTCACTACTACTTCTACTGGTACTACAACTACGACTACTACTTTCACTACTATTACTACTTCTGCTGCTACTACCTCTTTTTAATGGTCTCCAACCTCTTCTACTACTACAAATTAAATACAAAAAATATATCCAATTTAACCCAGCCTATATGTGATAATTTCTTCCCAGATTATATGAGTTACACCTTGAGCCTACGAGTTGGTTGGTGTCCCCGGGCGCCTCCATCGTTCGTGTGGGGTCGAGGGATAGCTCCGTCCGGGGAGCTACTGGAGACTTTCAGCCCTTGAAGCCCCGTCCGTGTTTCTACCTGGCTAAACCCAACCTTATGGGAGATAAGACCACATCTGGTACCGTCTCCCTTTGTCATAGTGATGGACCGGTGAGTAGTGTGTTTTGGTGTGTTGCAATATGACCTCTGTTAGAAGATCACCACGAACAATATGACCTCTGTTAGAAGATCACCACGAACAGGATACCGTGAATACATTTATATTATATATTTACTAATATTTACAAATTAAACTCCACAAACAGAATAATTCTTAGAAAGTTTTAATCAGTGTACTTGTGTAGGATAGATTAATTGGTTTCGTCTCACCTTGAAAAAAAAATGGGTTCGTGGTCTTGTTCGGAGTATTTTCCTCAACATTGACTACTTTTGAGTTCGAACGTTATTAAAGTAAGTTATATTCCTATGTAACTGACAACAAGAACAAGAACAACAATAATAATAATACAATAATAATAATAATAAGCTGAATTATCAAGTTGGGAATAATGTTATTCTAGTCTTGGAATTATAGTAAAATAATCCTTCAACAAACTCTCTATAATAACTTTGCAGAATCATAATAATCCTTTCTTTAAATAATTCCTAACAGTTTAATATAATAACGTATAATCTGATGTCTGAAAAGTTGATAATTCTATAAATATCTCGAGCGGATAATTATGTAACTTTTCATTGTAATTTGTTTATTTACTTATTTGTTTATTCACTTTTTTCGGTGACGGTTTAACATTTCCGAGACTAAAGTTTTAACACCATCCGGAATTACTGTATTTATTCTGTGAAGTATTTACTGGGAACAATGTGAAGGCGACTGGCAAATGACCTAAAAACACTCATTAGTCATATCACGTGACGTCATCTTTACGTCATAAGTATCAAGTGGGCAGATTGGTTTATTAACGTGACGTCATTATCTTCAAAATACTTTAAGCCATAGACGTCATCACCCACGCCTTTACTAGGAACTCGCTGATTGGTCGGGGTGATAGTGGTCTTCGTGAGTAAATATGGAGCTTATACGGGTAAATTCTTCTTTCTGATTTATTGACACATGAAAAAAAAATAGCTAACGTACCCTTGATAAACTTTCTAATCAATAAGACAAACAAAGAAAATTTCTAACCAACATACCATTCTTTGGTCGCCCCGCCACGATGACGTCATGCATGTAAAACCAATCACATCGGTTCACGGCAATTTAACGCTTATCCATTGGCCAGTGAACAGAAAAACTAATATAGCATTACTACTACTACTACTACTACTACTACTACAACCACTACTACTACTACTACTACTACTAATAGTCGTAAACATATTTTCTACCTACCCCTCCTCCACCACCTCTTCCTTCCCTTCATTCCTCCATCATTTCCTCCTCCTCTCCATCATTCCTCTACCTCCTCCATACCCCTCCACCACCACCTCTTCCTTCCCTTCATTCCTCCATCATTTCCTCCTCCTCTCCATCATTCCTCTACCTCCTCCATACCACTCCACCACCACCACTCACTCCGCCACATTTACCACACAATTTCCCCCTCATACGTATCACTGGCAACACAGAACACACACACATAACTTTGTTCAGTGGTGAGTAAGAGACTGTATTGAGGTCAAGCGTCCCTGAGTGGTCGAAAAGTGACTGTTCACCTGAAATATTAGACTGTTTATCATCGTTCTCTGTTATATATCGTTCTATTAGCATTAAATATAGGAAATGGTCGGTGAATATTATTTATATTATTTAGTATTAGTCGTATATGTTGTGTATATAATGTGTAAGTATAATGAGGAATAATTACTGTATTAGTATATTGTTAGTTATGTTTGAAGTGCACTTAGTTATATTTGAAGTGTACAGGGATTATTTGATCACGTTGTGTGTTAATTTTTATGAGTTTCGGTTTAATATGAAATGAAATGGTGAATGTTAGTCTGGTGGTTAGTAAAAGAGGTTATTTAAGTCAAGGATTAGTCATATATGTGGTGTAATTGGGTTGTTTTGTGGTTAATATGATGTTTTGGTAGTGATTTGCGTTTATTGACTCCAGAATAACTCGTTTTTTTTTGGGGGGGGGGGAATTGTTAGGAAGAGCTAATTATATTGTTAACCTAAGATAATCAAGGTAATTCTGTTATATTTAATAGGTAAGATAATTTATAATGATATTCAGGTCACCACTAATGTCGACTAAGATTGTGGTTCAGTTTGTCAGGGAATAGGATAGGAGAGCTGGGAATCGGTTTAGCTCTCCTCTTTTTTAATATTTAACTGTTCTTTTTTCCTTCTTCTTGTGGCGGTTGTGCTCAATTTAGTAGGATCGAGGTCACTAGGTCGCATTGAACTGATCAAACAAAGAAGCAACAGAGGGAGAGAAATGGAACAGGTAAGGTAGAGCATTACACACATCAATGGTTCACTCAATTCGACGACTCACGCTGCTTCGAGACAAGATTCGTTGACTAAACCCGGATACTCAAAGATTCATTCAGTGACTTTGAAAGGAAATCCAACTATCTGATTTATCGTTATTCTTTAGACTCTTAACTAGTTATGGTACGTCATTCATAAAGGGAGATATCAATGTAAAATATCTTGGGAATTTATATACCTAGACCTGCTAATGGTGTATAAACATTATTAAATAGATTGATAGGTATTGTACTATATATATATACAGTATATATACAGTAGTCCAAGAGTATATCTAGTATATCTATTATTTATTTATGTGTTTTGTGTATTTCCAGTAAAGTTTTTGATGTTATATTCTCAAGAGTTTTTTTATTTATTTTTATTTCTTTCTTGTTACGTAAGCCTTAGGAAACACTCACTGCCTAAAACACTTTATTCCGAAACATTAATCAGAGTTACAGGAGGTCTGTGGTTTAGTTTTATACCTTAAGCTGAGAAATACTGTCTACTTATGGCAGACCTTACGTAACATTCGTACCTTACGTAACATTAGTACCTCACGTAACATCTGTACCTCACGTAACATCTGTACCCCACGTAATATTTGCACCCTACGTAACATCTGTACTCCACGTAACATTAGTACCTCAAGTAACATTAGTAACTCACGTGACATCTGTACCCCACGTAATATTTGCACCCTACGTAACATCTGTACTCCACGTAACATTAGTACCTCAAGTAACATTAGTACCTCACGTAACATCTGCACCCTACGTAACATCTGTAACCCCACGTAACATTAAGCAACCAGCCAACTCCAGTACAGGACCTCAGCGAAGACTCTTGATTAACATGTCAACACTATTATAAAGGTTTCTGAAACGTCTCACATTCTCCTTGATAAGATATATATATTTTTTTTAATCAACAGACAGACAGAAGAAACACCCTCCTTGTCTAGTGTCGATTGTGGGTTATTTTGGTCGAATGTGTGACCGACTCCCAAACTATGTCCACCCACTTTCCCGTTCCACCGTTCCCCCCGTTCCATCTCGTCCCTTGCCACCCACATACCTCCCCAGGCTTCCCACACCCTCTCCTACCTCTCACACTATGACACGTATCACACCATATTGTCGCCTCCCACACCGCCCATTCTCCCACACCACTATTCAATCTCCCACACCATCTCCCACACCATCTACCTCATCTCCCACACCACCTCCCTCACTCGACCCTCCAGGAACACGTTAGAAACAAAACATCGGTTCCAGGTAGAGTTATGATGTCAATTAAGAGAGATTTAACCTTCTTCTTCTTCTTCTTCTGTGTAGGGAGAAAGACGAGGGAGATTAATATTAAAGGAGAAAGGAAATAACAAGTTGAGTGATGTAAGTGTAGAAATTAAAAAAAAAAAATAATCACACATACTTTTTCATATCCTAACCTAACTGAACCTATTCTAATGTTATAATATTATCAATTACAATACACCTGTAGGGTTAGATTATGTTAGGTTTACATTATGTTAGGTTAAACTAGGTTAAACTAGCCTAAATTAGCGTGAATTTGTTATGTTGTTATGTTGTTAGTTAGCCTTTTCTAACTAACTAACGAGATGTTAAATTTTGACCACGTACGACTTAACAACGTCAACAACAAGTCAGTTTCTCGTTATCTTTTTCGAGCCTAATAGTGTTATATGATGTATTGTAGGCAGTCATCCTCTCCCACACGCCGCCCACGCCTCCCACGCCGCCCACGCCTCCTATTATTGTCACATAGCACACATCAAAACACCTTCCCTCACCCCTCCTCACCTCAGCCCGTTGACGTCCAGATCAAGGCTGGTGGTTTGTTTACATGACACAGCTGTTTACTACGGTTGAGGCTTATCGTTCATTTATCACTGTAACATACATACATACATACATACATACATACATACATACATATATACATACATACATACATACATACACACATATATACATACATACATACATACATACATACGAAAAACTCACCTGACAGGAAAAAATACTCACAAATACGCATAACATTGCCCTAACAATCACCACAAATCCAAACATTTACTTGTCATTAATTAAGAGAAATAAACAGAATAAAAAAAAATACAAAACGAAAAAAAAAAATATTTACGTAACCTGGTTCTATGGCGTAGGGTTTTATTTCATAGCCAAAAAAAAAATAAACAAAGGCTAATATTGTCCCATATGTTTTCGTTCGTTCGTATAACTTTGAATCCGGATTTTCAAACGTTGGATTTATTACGTTAAGTGAATAAGAACGTATCTACCTGAGTCAAACAGAAATACAAATACAGTTTCTCAAAGGCTCTTATGTTAAATTTTACTCGTAACTTGAGACGTGAGAGTGACTCATTTAAACTACGGTGTGGGGTGTGGGTGTGGGTGTGGACGTGTGTGGTGGATGTGGGCGGCTAAGATGAATTGAGGATTGTGTTAAGCCTCTACGGATACCAGGCCATGAATATCCTGACCTTATATGGGGGTTGTCTGTCTGTCTGTCTTGTTAGATATAGCAGAAGGCGCTAACATTTCTCCACATTCTAGCTAAAATTAAAGCAAGAATCGGTGTTATGGCTGGATAATAGCAAAGGACGCTAATTTTACTATACAAACTCGCTACACTTAGGACAAAAGCCGCTATGTATTGCTGACTGTAGCAGAAAACGTTACCATCACCACCACACAAACTCGCTACACTTAGGACAAAAGCCGCTATGTATTGCTGAATGTAGCAGAAAACGTTACCATCACCACCACACAAACTCGCTACACTTAGTATATATATCATCATGGCGGGAAAAAAGTTGGATACAAAAGTTACGACATTAAAAAAAAGAAGAATACATAACCTTATAATTCGTATGATAAATAGAATGAACTTTCACAAAAATCCTCCTCCCTCTGACCCTCTCCCCCGCCTGGTGCCGCTGTACACACACACTAGATATATAGAAACAAAATAAACACAATTTTTCCCCTCCCAAATTCACCCGTATAATGAAAAGTAAACAGAGGTAAAATGGAACAAAAAATAAATAAAAAATGAAACAATTTTATGTAATCCACTCGTAATGTCAACAAAAACCTTGACAATATGAATAAAAAAAAAAGAGGAAAAAATACATATATCTCTCAGAGTCTCATGGTTAAATCGATACAAACAGTGTTGGCTTCTAACAAAAGACGAACCAAAATATCAGCAAATCCGCGAGTAACTCAGACAAACTGTGCCGGGGAGCAAGTAACACTCCTGGGGGATCTGTTCTAAGTCCTTTGTTTACGTTCATCCACCACAGTTAGTTCACAATGCGGGTATTTTAAAATCGCTCCCTTTAGCTCTTAGAAAGCCTCCCTCACAACCCCTGCGCATCCCACACCACCCACTAAATGCGCCCTAAACGCCCTTACTTGTACTTAGACACCTACACAGTCCTAAATGACTCCTACACACCTTCATGCGTTTCACTCTTCCAAAATCCGTTTCATATCCTCTTACGCCTCCCCACACGCCCCTCTGACACCATCACCACCACACGTTCTTTGACACCCTCACCACCACCGCACTCCCCTCTCAAACACCCTCACCACCATTACCACATGGCCCCCACACGCTACCCAAACTCCGTCATCAACGCTATACATCTACAGGCCAATTACACAAACGAAGTGGACGTATCATTGATATGGCGATCTGAGGGTGGCGTGAGAGAGAGAGAGAGAGAGACCCACTCACCTTTACCTGTGTGGGCAGCGGTTGTGCGAATTACCAATTTTACTTTATATCTTTGTGGTAAACCGGACGGAAGGAAGGTACTCGTGGGTTTTTTTTTTCCTGACACTGATCAAATACTCAAGCTAGACTGATTTAGTACACAATGGGATTTGCGAGTCAACTCAGGTCGTTATCTCTATTGGCCTGACAGGTACTGACTTACACAATACTCTGGTACTAGTTCACATCGGATACCAATCAAGTACCCTGTATCATCTTTTTTATGGGGGGATTCGAACCCGGGATCGTTAAAGCTCAATATGATGACTTAATTATTCTACCAGTGTACCCCTATGGAGTGTAACTAAGTGTATTCAAGTATAACCATATGAAGGTCAATCTATTTATAAAGATGTCATAGTCAAAGTGAAAAATGCTAACAAAATGAACTCAAATGTGTGAAAATATCCGAAGTGTTTGGTAGAGACTTGTGCCTCTGGTGGTCGCCCTCAAGGGAGGGTTTGTGGGCGCTTGGTGTGTCGTCCAACATTATTAAGCGGACACAGATGTAAACAAGACTCCAATACCTTAACGGAGTACAAAATAATCACAAGCGACAAATGTACCCAAGTAAGACGACTTAACATAGTGTCCAAGTACTGTTTTATATTAAGTACTCTTATAAAAGTCTCGAATAGTACAAAATAAAAGATAATTAAAGCATTTTATTATCATCACCATCACACGAACTGGCAACTTCAGTCACAGAGGCGCCAGTATATATCACATGATAATGGCCGCGTTCTGTCAGGTGCACACAAATCAGAGTTTTTGAACCAGGATGATATTTTTGTACATTTAAATTAGATTTTAGTTATTTTTCTCTTTGCCTGACCTATACGTGACCTAGATCAGGCTCTGAAATCCTTATTGAGTCTAAACGACCTTCAATATTGCCACCACTAATTACCCCTTAATCAGCCCACGACGGCATCTGGGAGCGGCCAAGACTTCTCTGTTAAAATAGTCTCCCGTAAACTCATTTATACCCCGGGTCAGTACTCAGTTTAACTCCCTAACCACAAAGTAATTTTTTTTTCTGTCATATAAATGCCAATCTGTTCAAATCATGTCCGCAAATACCTTTAGTTTTTGATAAAGGGATGACGCCTAGGTAAAGAGATTTGATAATGACTCTACTCTGATTTTCACTGAGCTTTCTATGTGCTAATAATAATAATAATAATAATAATAGTTTAACATGTGGGCAGGTGTTTAAGGTGAGGTGTGTGTGTGTGTGTGTGAAGGACATGTGAGTGTATGGGAACAGGTGAGTGTATGTGTGGGTCAAGTGTGTGAGGGGGTGTGTGTGTGTGTGTGTGGGTAGGGGGTGTGTGTGCAGCCAGGTGTTTTACTTGACCAGAATTAATTAACACACCTGTATACCTGTATCTTTAACCGAGGATGTCAAATTTAATAATGTTTATATAGTTTATATGAGTAGATTGATATATACTATATATAATAATAATAATAATAATAATAATAATAATAATAATAATAACATGTGGGCAGGTGTGTAAAGTAAGGTGTGTGTGTGTCCTAATTAAATCCTCTCTCTGTTATATGCTTCTCTCTCACACACACACACACACACACACACACACACACACACACACTACACACACACACACACACACACACACACAGGAAAAAAGACATAAATTTTCACCCCTCAAAACAATGGCTTCAACAACAACAGGAAAGACACAAACACCATCCCACACACTCTCCCAACACCTCTCCCTCCCTCTCCACACTCCCAGCACCTCTCCCTCCCTCTCACACTCTCCCAACACCTCTCCCTCCCTCTCACACACTCTCCCAACACCTGTCACTCCCTCTCCCACACTCTCCCAACACCTGTCACTCCCTCTCACACTCTCCCAACACCTGTCACTCCCTCTCACACTCTCCCAACACCTGTCACTCCCTCTCCCTCTCCCAACACCTGTCCCTCCACACTCCCCAACACCTGTCACTCCCTCCCTACACTCCCAACACCTGTCCTCCCTCCTCTCTCCCACCTCTCCCAACACCTGTCACTCCCTCTCCTCTCCCAACACCTGTCCCCCTCCCTCACACCTCTCCCAACACCTGTCACTCCCTCTCACCTCTCCCACACCTGTCCTCCCTCTCACACTCTCCCAACACCTGTCCTCCCTCTCACACTCTCCCAACCTGTCCTACACTCTCCCAACAACCTGTCCTCCCTCTCACACTCTCCCAACACCTGTCAACCCTGTCACTCCCACACTCTCCCAACACCTGTCACTCCCTCCTACACTCTCCCAACACCTGTCACTCCCTTTCACACTCTCCCAACACCTGTCCTCCCTCCTACACTCTCCCAACACCTGTCCTCCCTCCTACACTCCCAACACCTGTCCTCCCTCCTACACTCTCCCAACACCTGTCCTCCCTCCTACACTCTCCCAACACCTGTCACTCCCTCCTACCTCTCCCTGTCACTCCCTCCTACACTTCCTCCCACACTCTCCCAACACCTGTCCTCCCTCCTACACTCTCCCAACACCTGTCCTCCCTCCTACACTCTCCCAGCACCTGTCCTCCCTCCTACACTCTCCCAACACCTGTCACTCCCTCCTACACTCTCCCAACACCTCTCCCTCCCTCTCCCACTCTCCAGCACCCTCTCCTCCCTCTCACACTCTCCCAGCACCTGTCCTCCCTCTCACACTCTCCCAGCACCTCTCCCTCCCTCTCCCTCTCCCAACACCTGTCCTCCCTCTCCCTCTCCCACACCTCTCCCTCTCCACTCTCCCACACCTCCTCCCTCTCAGCACCTCTCCCTCCCTCTCTCCTCTCCCAAACACCTGTCACTCCCTCTCACACTCTCCCAACACCTCTCCCTCCCTCTCACACTCTCCCAGCACCTCTCCCTCCCTCTCACTCTCCACTACCACTCTCTTCTTCACTCTCACTGATTCCTTCACACACTCTATCTCACTCACCGCCTCTCTTTCCCTCTCTTTTCTTTGCCTCTCTATTTCCTTTCTTTTATCTCTCTCTTTCTCTCTGCCACCCCTTTCGCTTTCTCTCCCCCTCGTTCGCCTCAACCTTACACTCTCCTTCCCTCTACCGCCCACTCTCACCCACTCTCACACCCTCTCGCTCCCTGTCACTCACTCTCACTCCCTCTCACTCCCTCTCACCCACTACCACCCACTACCACTCACTCTCACCCACTCTCACACCCTCTCACTCACTCTTACTCCCTCTCACTCTGACCCACTCTTACACCCTCTAACTCACTCTCACTCCCTCTCACTCACTCTTACTCCCTCTCACTCTGACCCACTCTTACACCCTCTAACTCACTCTCACTCCCTCTCACTCACTCTTACTCCCTCTCACTCTCACACCCTCTCACTCACTCTACCAACAGCACGTGATGTTAATGGTTGACGACGAATTAGCAGAACTTCTCCCCATCTTAAAAGTCCTCGGCAACATCACCTCGTCCTCGTCCGCCCTTCCCCCCACCGTGTCCAAGAGGGGGGAGGCGCCCCTTAACATCAACCGCTTCACGCACGTGGTTAAGAGACATCCACTGCCCGCCGTGTTGGACCAGGATTGTCATAGTAGGTGGAAAGTGGGTGGGTGGGTGGAAGGAAGGTAGGGAGTAAAAGCGGGTGGGTGGGAAAGGAGGAAGGGTGGAGAATGAGCTACCAACACATAAAATGAGTGTGGGAGAGTGTGGGAGTGTATGGGGGAGTGTGGGAGAGGAAGGGGAAGGAGGAAAGAGAGGGTTGTGAAGGAAGGAAAGAATGGGGAGGTCATCCAAAATATGTCACCAAGTACATAATGATCATGTTGCCGCTGACGTAAATATTTATCATTACTAATTAAACTTCAACAAAATTGATGACGTCAGTGCATATTAACCTAAATGTTATAGTTATATGTTAAATTGTTTTAGTTACTCTTATTGGCGCTATTAATCACGGGGATATTTTGTTAAAGGATTAATGTTAAAGTTTGTTAACCTAACATAACATAATTAAACCTAATCTAACTTAGAAATTTAATCTGACCTTCTAACCAAACCTAAGCTTAATCTAACTTAACCTAAGCTTAATCTAACTTAATTTGACCTGACCTGACCTGACCTGACCTGACAGGACCTAATCCATATGTTACCCCCAGGTGAATTCAGCTGTAGAAACGCCCCCCACTTGCCGGCGCCCATCAAGGTGCCAGACATCAGCCAGGTCATGATTGATCCCACGGTGAGTGACCCAAGTTGACCTTACATGACCCTCACCAGGATAATATTGTTCCGCTAACCATTTTTTTAACCTAGTTAGGGTACGTTAAGACACACGTTGACTATCCTGAATACGTTATGTAGTATGGTTGACCCAAGATGACCTTACTTGACCTCTACCATGCTATCGTTGATAAGGTCAGTTTATGCTGTAAGATGACTCATAATGCACGATGGTTGACTCGAGCTGACTTAAACTGACATTTTCCGAGTTGATGTCGATGACCTGCAGTGGCTTAACCCAGTTAGGTCAAACCAAGGCACAAGGTGACTATCCCCCACTTATAAAATAATATGACTGATCATTGCTAACCCGTGATAATCCACACAATTGTTCAAATAGTTCCTTCATCTTTTTCCTGTCCTAACCATGACCTCATTATCTAAGGTCAAGGGTCAGTAGTACTATGAAAGACCAAATTGAAAATAAAATAAGAGCAGCTGAAGATTAGATATCCTAGCTAATTTCACCTTATAATTAAAAACCCTGGCGTTAGGCTAGGTTAGGTTAGGTTAGCGTTAAGTTAGGTTAGATTAGATTAGGCTGGATTTTCGTTAGGTGAAACAAGCTGGGGTGTCTAAACTTCAGGTAATATCTCTTTTATTATTAGCTTAAATTAACCCCTATGTTTCACCCCCTTCAGCCTCCCCCCTAAGCTAATCCTACCAAGCTGTTTTTAATTTACTTTTGTCGTAATATTTTTCTCATTTTTTGTAACTCCTGTTGTGTCTAACAAAAGCTTTTGTGAGAGTCAGAGCTTTTTTATCCGGTTCTTGAGAGAGAGAGAGAGAGAGAGAGAGAGAGAGAGAGAGAGTAAACAAACAGCTCCTCACCAACAGACTGACGGCGTTACGAGGGTGACAGAGACAACTCCTGACCCACTGACCGTAGAGTTGGGCATCATCCTCGACCAAGCCTTGATCGACACCTTCGCTGATTACCTCAACAATGACCAGGAGCTAATCGACCTCGCCCTTGGCCTCGTCAACAACGTAAGTTCGTTGAAGAAGAAGGAGGAGGAGAAGGAAGGGAGGATGAGTAGGGGAGGTAGAGGAAGAGGGGAGGGAGGGGGAGGAGGAAAGGAGGTGGAGGAGGAGAAGAAGGAGGGGAGGGGAGGGGAAAAAGAAGAGGGGTAATGGAGGAAGAAGAGGAAGAAGAGGGAAGAAGGAGAAGGAGGAAGAAGAGGGATGGAAGAGAAGGAGGAAGACGAGGGGAGGATGAGTGTGTGAAAAAGAGGAGGAGGAAGGGAGAAGGAGGAGGGGATGAAGGACGAATTGGAGGAGGAGGAGGAGGAAGAGGAAGGGAGAAGGGAGGGGGTAGGTTACAACACACAACAATACTCCAGGCAGCAGCACTAACGCTCAGGTGATTTCTAAAACGCATCATTAAGCCACAGGTATAACTCCCATCATTACCTGTAGATGTCAATTAACCCACAGGTGAATAGTATGGCCTCCTTTACCTATAGGTGTTAATTAATCTTAGGTAAATCCTATAGATATTGATACTGTAAGTGTTATTTCCACAGGTAACTCCTATAGGTACTAATTAACCCACAGATAACACCTATAGCTACTAATTAACCCACAGGTAACCCTCACATGTAATCCTCACTGACATTAACTAAATCCCAAAATAATTTCCTATAAACACCTGTACTGTACATCACCTGGTCGCTAATCTCCCCGTACCTCCCCTTCCCCCTCCCGCAGGTTCAGGCACTGTATCGTCACCCGTCGTTAGGCCGCCGGGTGGATCTAACCATCACCCACATGCGGCTCCTGAACAAGCAGCCTGAAGACCTGCCCACCCACAACGGAGATCGGATCAAGTTGCTTAAGTCCTTCTGCAGCTACAGTCAACGCCACAATATTCCCGAGGACTCCCACCCCGAGCACTGGGATATTGGCGTCTACCTGTCTGGGTGGGTACTGATTGTGGGTAATGACTGTGGGTACTGGATGTGGGTATTCACTTTGGGTAATGGCTGTAGGTACTGATTGTGGATATTGACTGATTGTGGGTACTGGTTGTGGGTACTGATTGTGGGTACTGGATGTGGGTACTGGATGTGGGTATTCACGGTGGTAATGGCTGTAGTACTGATTGTGGATATTGACTGATTGTGGGATTGTGGGTACTGATTGTGGGTACTGGATGTGGGTAACTTCGGATGTGGGTATTCACTGTGGGTAATGGCTGTAGGTACTGATTGTGGATATTGATTGATTGTGGGTACTGATTGTGGGTAATGACTGTGGGTACTGGATGTGGTATTCACTGTGGGTAATGGCTGTAGGTACTGATTGTGGATATTGACTGATTGTGGGTAATGACTGTGGGTACTGCTGGATGTGGGTATTCACTTTGGGTAATGGCTGTAGGTACTGATTGTGGATATTGACTGATTGTGGGTACTGGTTGTGGGTACTAAGTGTAGATATTGATTGTGGGTACTGACTGTGGATACTGGCTGTGGGTACTGACTAAGTATGGATTATAATTAAAAGATATTGTCATTCACTTTTATTTCTATTATACATTTAATAATTATTTACCTATTTCTTCCCTTCACCATTAAATGTAAAAAAAAACCTCTTCTTCATATATAAATAACTTTCTCTCAGCTTTCTCTCTCAATTGAACTTTATTTTTATACCTTTCAATCAACGTAACTTCACCACCTCAGGTTGAACTTCTTCACTATGACACCAGAGGGAAGTGTAGACGGAGTGACGATGGGATTAGCATTCACTGGAGGCGTCTGTAAAATCGGCACCTCCTGTCTCATTAACGAACTGGGCGCCGTTAACTTCCGAGGGCGGCCTTACCCTTCTTCAGGAGCCCTTAGCTCTTACGTCCTAGCCCACGAGGTTGGCCACAGGTAAATAAAAAAATGAAATCCGAGTAACGAGGACGATATCAGTCTTGTTTTACACCTGGATTACACTTACCTGAAATATGAGAAATAATCCATGTTTTACATTTTTTCCCTTGACCTGGCCTGTGCTTTTGTGACCTGTGCCATCCCCTGACCTTTGACCTGGCGTGCTTTTGGGGGTCAGCCTGGGTCTACGGCACGATGGGGTGAGCAATGAGTGCCAAAGAAGCGGGTTCATCATGGCTGCTGGCAGAGGGGTCAAAGGTGCCACAACCTGGTCTTCCTGTGCCAGAGAGAAGATCCTTAAGCAAAGGTAAGTGAGAGTAAGAGTTGGAGTAAGTGAGAGTTGGAGTAAGAATAGGAGCAAAAGTAAGAGTAAGAGTAGAAGAGTAAGGGCAAGAGTAAGAATAAAAGTAAGAAGTAAGAGAGAGAGAGAGAGAGAGAGAGAGAGAGAGAGATCCTACAAGACAAACAAACACGTTAACCACTCTTAATTACCTCTTCTAGTGGCGACTGCGTGCGTGAGAGAGGTGCTGCTGCTGCTGGTGGTGCTGCTGCTGCTGCTGCTGCTGGTGCTGCTGGTGGTGCTGCTGCTGGTGATGGTGAAGCTTCAGGCTTGGTGGAGGCAGCAGTAACATCGACTTGGAATCACAGTGTGTATAAAGGTTTGCCTGGCCAACGATGGGACGCCTCAGCTCAGTGTCAGTTGTTCTTGAGAGACAGATATGCCACAGTTGCTGACACCTCCAGGATCAATGTAAGTGAGGCTCCTGATGTAGTGATGATTAGTTAACGTATTAAGGATTAGTTAAATAATTACAGGATTAGTTAAATAATTACAGGATTAGTTAAATAATTCTAAGATTAGTTAAATAATTCTAAGATATGTTAATTCATTACACATTTGCTAAGTTATTATATATTTCCCAATCTATTAAATAATCACCAATTCAATGAAGATTAGCTAATTATTATAGAGGTAATCAATCAACGTCTCCCTAACTCAATAGCAGTTGTGTTTGTTGTCTTGTTACTCACATCCATCACACCTGTTGGTTCTTATACACATTGCTAATTACCTGTTAATTACCTGGCCACTATCTCCCTCCACTTAACACTATTAAACTTACTGATTCAATTCCATGTATCACAGTCAATAGAAATGATCACAACATTTTCTATTGAGAGGAGAGTTGTGATGTATAGAACCAGTTTGTTATCAGGTCGAGTTACTTACAGCGTCTGAGGGCATAAAGTAATTTTTTTATGATAATTACGTAGATTATATAGAATTTTAGTGATGCAGTATTCAATTTGTAATATTTCGCTTTTAAGACAGACAGACAGACAG